CGCCGTCACTCCTCGAATCGCTCACACGGAATGCGTCGCGACGCCGCGTCGGGGCGTAAAGCGACAAGACGACGGGGCGGGGTGCGGCGCTGTGGTGCGGCGTCGTGGTCATTACTGCACTTTGTGCGAGGCTCCCAGGATAAGAGTCGGGAGTCAGCGCGGTCCTTTCTCCTCAAAGTGAAAGGGATACCTATAGGGAACTGCCCGCCCCGCCCCGCCCCGGGCGCTCCGGGCGGTTCCAGGCGGTTCCAGGCGGCTCCGCGCAGACACTAGGTCACTGGACAGCTGCTGCGCGAACGACCCAATGCGCAACAACAACAGGCCAGTTAGTGCGAAAAGAACTGTCACATTGACATTACACAAGCACAAATCATCAGGCGCTAGCGCTCAAGTTAAAAAATACAAACAAAAAAAACAACAAAAAAAAACACAAAAAAAAACAACGACAACAAAAAAGTTGTTACTCGTTTGATTGAATGTCCCCCACCTTCAAGGCGGCAGGTCAGCGGACCTTACACGCAGAGTGTCGTCAGACGACGGGGAGGAGTATCCTTGTGTCAATAAACCCAATAAGGACACACAGAGAGAAGCAGGCGGGGCGGGGCGGGGCGGGGCTTAGGCCCAGGCGAGGAGGCAGCTCGGGAACAAGTCGGGCCGACGTTTTGAAAACGGCCCCGACCTGCGACGTCCTGTCCCTTCTCCATCACTATTAAGCCCAGGTCGTGAAAACAAATTATGACACGTTCGAAGTCGTTGACTTTGTTCTTTCTCGATGACACTGGCCCCCCCTCTGGCCGAAAAGAGGGAGGGGGGGGGGGTTAACATTATTTGGACGACAAGAGCGGCATGCCCGACGTCCCCCCCCATCCTCTTGACGCCCGGGCCCGGGCGTTTTGTTTCCAGGGCCACAGACATACACGCGAACACGTGCCGCGTCGTCAGACACTCGGCGGCTTCGAGGACTCCGCCGCTGATAGACTATCGCAGTAGCAGGACAGCGTCGTAACATTGTCAACCAGTGTAGTCCACACGAGTGGGCCGTGGGCCGCCGCCGGACTCTCGGACGCCGTGCTATCGTCCCTGGGGGGCAGAGGGGGGCGAGGGCGGGTACCCGGGCACCCGGGATGCCACCCGGGGGCCCATTGCGGAGGGTCAGTGCCGGTGTAGCCGACGGCTGCTCTCTCAACTCTTGCCGCGCGCGCCCTGGAGTTTTCTGAGTCACTTATTCAAACTATCAAAGTGCCTTTTTTTTTTAAAAAAAATATTTAACTAAAGGTGGCACTTTTGGAAGTATAAATCGATATCCGTTACCAGAAATGTCGTGAGTCATGCTCACATCACTGAGTAGCTCGCCGCGAGCGCTCGCTCACCTGCAGTGCTGTTAACATGTCGCCGGTCCGCTCCTAGTGTGCCGGTGTGCTTCTGGTCCTGCTCCGCGGCGTGGCGGAGAGTGGCGTGCTCGCGGTGGCGATACCGCGCGGCGATGGCGGGTCGGCACGGCGGCGACGTCGTCCGTTCCCCGCGGCGGTCGCTGACGGAAAGACGCGAGGCGCCGCGGCGGGGCGCTCTCCTCTGGCGCGCAGATTTCACACACACTCACACAGGCTCACACCACGGCTGCAAAGCAGGCGGGCGGGGCGG